AGAAAGAGATATGATTTAAATGTTAAACTTATATTTGTCCGCGTCGCAAGTATGATTCGCGAGCGGGGTATTTCCTTAAATTTATATTTGACCACGTCGCATGTATGATTCGCGAGCGGGGACTGCGTCACATGTATGATTCGCGAGCGGGGACCGCGTCGCATGTATGATTCGCGAGCGGGGGAAATTTATAGATGCATCTATGGTTCGCGTCGTTCGACCCTCGGTAGTGCATATTTTATTTTTATTGTTGGATCGGGCCGTACGACCTCGGCATGACTTGCGCGTGATTGTATTAATTACTTCGGAAATTATAATAATTGATATTGCCTCATTGGCCTGAGATATAAACTGTTAAAATGATGAAAATGAATTTGGAAAAAACTTCTTGTTAACAAAAGAATTGTTTACTTACTTCATGATATCGGGCTTATAGCCGTTCTACGTGATCCATGCTTAATCTTATCATTGGTATATTAATTATAGCCCATAGTAAGTGTCCAAGTCGACCCCTCGTCACTACTTTTTCGAGGTTAGGCGGGATACTTACTGGGTGCGCGTTGATTTACGTACTCATGCTACACTTGCTGCATATTTTGTGCAGGTACACATATGTTTAGCAGCCTTGTGGGCGCAGAGGTGCGATTATGGTGGGGACTTAGGTAAGCTGCATTCTATACGGCAATCCGCAGCCAATAGAGTCTCTCTCAGAGTACTTACATTTTTCCTGTCCAATTTGTATTCCGGACAGCTATTGTATTTTATTCTACATTCCTAATTAATGCTCATGCACTTGTGACATCGGATTTTGGGAGGATTATGGGTTGTGCTGTATTGGAAATTTTAAAGATATTATTATTTGTTTTTTTTAGTAAACTTCATCTTTTACGATTTAAATTTAAGGAAAAATATGATTTCAAAAGTAACAAAATGAGAACCCAATTAAATATTTTACTGTTGGTTTGCCTGACAGTGGAGTCCAGCGCCATCACGACCTTTATGGATTTTGGGTCGTGACAGTTCTTTTCACGAACGAGTTTCGGGCGTTCTGACGTCCAAAATCTTCTGAACCCACCGGTTCAAACCTTCCACCACCGGTGGGATCCATTGAGTTGCTGAAATATGCGAAGGGTGAAGAGATGATACAACCATAGAAGGATATCTAGTAAGAGGAATATTATATTTAAGAACTTACGAGTGCGGTTCCAAGCAACAGGAAAGGATGAAGCCATTGTCGAAATGATGTCGTTGGTGGCAACTGCAATGAATCGCTCCATCCACCCACGGTCGTTGTCATCATCCATGCTAGACAACAAAGCATGGTGGCCACGCTTGCAAAAGGTTTATCATTCCCCCGCGGAAGATTTTAGGGAACTAAAGATTCATCACATGAGCTAAAGTTAGCTCCTATCCAGTTTCTTGGCACAAACGTCAGAGGTGGGCGATCGTCCTCCACACTGAAGGACTTACCTATGTCAAACTCACCTGGTAGCAAAGGCAAAACTCTGCAATCACGGAATCAATCTCTTCGCTCAAAGAAAACGCATCCAAAGAAAAGGGATACGTGAAAAAGTATGTAAAACCTTCCTTGGGAAGGGTCACTCGCTCCGATAGATCAGGAGCAGTGATTTCCAACTCATTGCAGCGACATTCCTCCTTCACAGCAAGGATACTGGAAGGACGAATGGAAGAAGGGCACCTACTAACAGCCTATGTACGAGGGTTAGCAGTAGGAAATTTCTCTTCAAAATCCTTCGAAGTACTAAGCCTCCTTGGGATGATGGAATCCACTGTTGGAGGAATAGAGTCCTCGATTTTGTTCTTATTCTTTGAAGAACCACCACGTTTGGAAGAAGAAGCCATTGGAAAAGAAGAAAGTAAAGAATTTGTGTTTGAAGAAAATTAGGAAAAGGATGGAAAACAAGGATGCAACTCAGAAACTCAAGCAATTGTGAAGCGTAAAGGAAAAGAAAGTTGTGTATAAGTAAAATTCTGGGGGCTAAATTCATGGCTATGATTACCTCGATAATCGGCAAAAGCTGTGCTGAATCATGGGATGACGCGTGTTCGGGGTATTAAATACGGAGAGACGTGCGTCTAATCAACTGTCAGAGACCTTCAGAGAGAGTTATAATAATTCCCGCAAAAAATGTGTTTCTACCAACTTCCCGGTAACACAAAGTTATGTCACCAGAAAGCAGGGGGACTATCTGTATAGGGTAAAATATGATTATGACACGTGGCTGAGTAAATGGAGGACACGTGGAATCCAAGATAGGATAGTTGGGGACCGAATGCAGCCACTACGCTTGTCACCGGAACGGATAACGTTTATAAAAGTGTATTAAAAGCTCTGCGCCCAGTAGCATTTACTAAGGAATATTCTACAACATTAAGAGCGACGGTCCGTTACAGATAATTTGGCATTTATACTCAACGTTACATCTCAATCACTGACCCTCATAATTGACATTAAAGGAGTGCACGATTCTAGGACCTTCTTCCGTAGACATATCTATAAATAGTGAGCTCAGTTATCATTGTAAGGGATGAAAAATTTATGGCAAGAACATATATTATATTCTATACAAAGTTTTATACAATTTTACTCTCTTGCTTTTTGATTCCATCATTGCCGTGTTCAGAAATCGTGTTCATGGAATCACTATCTTTGTTATTTCATCTACATTCGAAGGCTAAGTACTGCGTATTTTTTCGATTATTATATTATTTCAGGATCAAATTAGTTCACTTATCTAGAAACCACATATAAATTCAACTGTACTATTTTACGGGTAAACACACGGGTAAACACGAGGAACTCTGAATTTTAATAACTCCGAAAGGGAATAGAATACAAAAGGCGTGCCTATTATTTCTGGGTTTTAGTTAATCCGGTACTCTACTTTTGAGTCCTCGTTTCAAAGTTGTAACCTTTGAATATCTGCAAAAGCTGCACCTCAAACTTGTTCAATCCTTAGAGGCTAAAAGCCTGAATCACATAAACATAAATTGATCACTAAGTAGATTTGGTTGAAATTTCAAAAAGGTTTTTAAAGTTGTGCTGAAAAATAAGTTTTAGAAGTTAGAGTTGTGTTTGGACATGCATCTTAATTATTTGAAATTTTTTTTGAAGTTTTGTGAGTGGAATCAAAATTTTCACCCAAAAACTGCGCTAAACAAGTTTTTGGAAAAACAATTTAGATTTTTTTTCAAAACTAATCATATTCCATGAACAAATAAAGTTTTCAATTTTTCTTTTTTACAAAAATTGCCAAAATTTATGGCTAAACAGAAGCTAAATGACTTGCAAGTTAAATGATGTATTAGTATATTTTCTTGACACTTTTCCTTTTCACTGAGATAACTTCAAAACGCAGAAATGAAGCACTAGACTGAATTGGGCAAAACACAACTTAATGGTGAGAATTAAGTTTTTAAAATAGAGCATGTACTAACAGCTTCGGCACCAATATATAGTAGCAATTTAAAAACTTTAGGTTATAAAGTTTAATTAATGGAGTTTAGTAACAAGCACTAGTTTAAAACTGGTTAAGATCAAGATCACGTGGTCCCCCTGCCAGCTCATTCAGTGCTACTCAATAAAATACAAGTCAAAGGTGAGTCAACCAAATTAGCCCATGGATGCCATCTGCAGCAGCATCTTCTGCGTCTTTCTGAATTCTGTAACCAAAAGCCAATCTCCCCTTTCACCGTTTTTGCTCTGATTTTCTGCTTTCTGTTCTCACTCTTTTCTCTCTGCTTGTCATAGCTATTTGCATTTATAACATTTTTAAGCTGTTGACAAACCCAATGCCCCATCCCCTTTATTATCGATATTTACTCTCTTATCTTTGAATCTTTGATATATATCAAAGATTCATATACTGCCAAGACCCCACCATTTTCACTTTATATATATACTCTTCATATTTTAACAATATCGCATGCACCCCCAAACCCAAGTTTGAATGTATGTAGTCCCAAGTTTCAAAGGATGGGCACTTAAAAGCCGAAATAATTTTCAACTTTAGTCAAATATTTTGGTACCCCCAATCAAAGAAATGATTTTAGGAATGAATGCACGAAACACTGTATAACGGTACGTGTAAGAGATAATGAAAAAGAGATGTCATTCAAAGGCACTAAGAGAAGAAAACGTCCAAGAAAAAGGGGCAATGAATGAAAACATAATGAAGTGACAAATTGGCTTTCCTTTGCCATCGGATTCTATCCAAGATTTAATGGTCAGAGGAAACACACTAGATTTATCACTCAATGCCAAACTAACACGTGATGCCAAAAACCCATTATCACATCTTGATATGACGTCCATGTACATCCAATTTATAGTCAAAACTTACAAAAAAACATCCCCTCTAACCTCTAACAGTGTAATATTTCTTTTGAAGCAGGAGCCAGATCCAGTACGGGTCATCATATAGATATTTTCTACCAAGTGTATATTTTATTCAATCAGTATTAGTGCTAGTTTAACTCATAAGGTTAAAAATGCATTGAGTTTAGTATCAAACATTTTAAAGATCAATTTCATCAAATTAAATTTCTGAATCTAGCTCTATTTTAAACTAAACCCTCCCAACACATCATAGAAGTACAAATGATAAAGATTCTTTCGTTTTTAATGGGACGTCTTCTAATTGAATTCTGAAAACAGAATACCTTTTAGTAGGAAATGTTTTTTTAACGGGCCTTATGCACGAATTTGAATAAATCAACCTAATGAATTTTGAATATCGGATGCATATATAACTTTAAAATAATGAAAAATGTATATTTTAGCAGTTCCCAAAATTATAGCAATAAACTATATATTTTTTTGTATATATATATATATATGTATTGTATACAAAATTATATATTATATTTAGATACTTTTATAATTAGGTTCGACAGATGAACCAATTTTTTAACGAAAAAGCTCCCCTTACCCCTTGGTTCTTGTGACTACAAGATCGCAGGGCCTCTACTGGTGATGATATAAATACAAACATCTACTGGTGGGTAAGTAAGAGAGAAAAGAGGGTCCCCTATGAGCAGGGTTGTTGGGGTCATATTTCGCAATACCACCTCAAATTAGTACAAATATGTTGGTCTCATACTTCTCCTCCTCATTCATGGCATGCTTACAAAAATATGTACAATAACAAAAATAACTCCGCTGACCACCACAAGTTTGTTTCTTCAATGACTAGTCCTAGAATCTCCTTCTCTAATGACTTCATCGATTCATCTCAACAACAACATCATCAACATATGATGAAGAATGATACAACGTCCTACTATAGAGATGCTCCTGTTTCCTCTGACTTTGAATTCTCCGTCGCTAATCATTCTATGATTACTGGTGCTGACGAGCTTTTCTCTAAAGGTAGGCTTTTGCCTTTCAAAGAGAAGAAGAGTACTACTACTACTACTCTAAGAGATGAACTCCTTAATAATGACGAAGATGATTTTACTTTGAGGATACCCAAAAGTAGTAGTAGTAGTAGTAGTTCTACTAGGTGGAAAGGTTTACTTGGCCTCAAAAAATCTCATATTGGGTCCAAGAAAATCGACAAGAAAAATGAAGAAAAGAGGTCTGATGATCTTGTTCATGCCACCAACAATTCCCAGGTACATTTATGCAACAAAAATAAAGATATAAAGATTTTTTGTCTAGTAAAATGAAGATTTTGATATGAGTGTTTTTTTAGCAGGAAGCATACAATGGCTCTGGTAGTGGATCCAGTTGTAGGGATATGGATTTTCGTTTTAATTGATATTGTCTGCAATGGCCATAACAAAGATTTTAGGAAAGGTATTTGGGGATGAAAAGGCTTCTGTTTTTTGGTTCAATTTTGAGAGAATCATACAGATTCTGATTTATATGTGGTTACAAGCCTTGGATTTTAAAGCTCATCATTTGTCCTATGGTGTTCTTTCGTTTCAATCAACTGTTAAATATGTACTAGTATTACAAGTTGGGGGGATTTTTAGAAGTTTGAGTTACAAGATTCTCATTGGCAAATGAGATTGTTGAATCATAATTTTCATCCCAAAATTTCCAGATGAAAAGACAGCTATACTGCATTGCGACTCCATAATGATTGATTGAGAAGGCGACCCCCACTGCCATTTTCCCTTGTAGTAAATTCTTGATTCCATTTTACTCAATTCAATATGTTGACATGCTATTTAATAATTAATACTTAGTGTAGACAAACTATAGTAGTAGTATTGTTCCTAAATACTAATACTAGTATAGGACATGACCAATTGTTTCTTATTTCCTTGTTCTTTTGCAACCATATTGTTATTTGTTAGTACTAATAAGGAATAGAAAAGAAAGTCAAGCAGTCAAAATGACAGAGGGGGAACAGCTGGAAGAGAAGAAGCACAAACCTCCAAATTAAATTTCACTTTTACCAATCTGAATCTGACTCAGAAATTGATAAATGTGCAATTGAATTGAATTTTCCTGTGTTAGAATATTACAGTGAGATAATGCCATAGCGTGGGAGCTGCCGGTCAAAGCGTACTTAGCTACTCTTTTCCTCTGAGTTCATTTGGCAAAGAAGCTTATTGGTCAACTTTTATCGATTTTTTGATTTTTTTTTGTATTTCATAATATTTGATTTTTTTAAATATAAAAAAAAAATTAACTTTTTTTTTTCGAAGTTATCCTTGGTGTAAAAAACCTAAGAATATTTATTATATTTTTCAACAAGTTAAAAAAAAACGCATAAATTCATTTATTATTCATATACAAATTGTGATGTTTTAGCTATTAACCATTTTGCTAAGTATCACCAATTCACCATAGTTGGTTTGCTTGTCTCTTCTTATTTTTAAAGTATCAAATCAATTGGATGGTGCTATACGAGCCACCGATTGAATATATTTAGGCCAAGTACCAGAATTGGCAGTCTCTATGACTCTATATGAATTTGGCCATAGTTTGCGAGTTGTCAAATTTCATCATTTTTTGGAAAAGTTTTTTGGATCAATATTAGATTTTTCTATATGTACTATGTCCTGATATTACTTCTGTTTGCTCAATATTTGAGGTATCTTTTGTGAGAGCTCTGTTAACACCTCCCTTCAAGTAGGAGCTCGTAGATCGGACTCCCAACTTGTCCAAAAAACTCCGATGAAGAGGTCCTGCCAAACCTTTTGTGAAGATATCGGCCATTTGGGCTGTAGTTGGAACAAAAGACAAAGAAATTAGACCATCGAGCAGTTTTTCACGGACGAAGTGGCAATCAATTTCGATGTACTTTATTCGTTCGTGAAAAACTGGGTTTTTCGCTATGTGAATCGCAGCTTGATTGTCACAATGGATAGAGACCGGAAGCGAAGGGGAAATGGATATGCCAGCAAGAAGACGAACAATCCATGAAAGTTCTGCTACCAAACGTCGGATAGATCGATATTCAGCTTCTGCCGAAGACAAAGAAATCACTTGTTGTTTCTACGATTTCCAGGAGACGGGGCATCCACCTATGCTTAAGAAGAAACCACTAACTGATCTTCGAGTATCCGAGCAAGATGCCCAATCTGCGTCACAATAACCCAAAATTTGAAATGAAGGCTCGGATGAGAAGAAAAATCCCAAACTTGGATCATTTCGAATTATCGAAGAGTATGTAAAGCTGCCTGATAGTGTCCAGATCTTGGAGATTGTATGTATTGGCTCAAGGTCTGTATAGTAAAGGATAGATCTGGTCGGGTATTTGTGAGAAAATTTAGTTTCCCCAAGAGCCTCCGATAAATGGTAGGATCAGGCAAAAGCTCACCAGAATCAGCAGTAAGCTTAATGTGTGAATCAAGCGGAGTGCAAACATCTCTCGATTGTAGAGAATCAAACTCAGAAATGAGGTCAATTGCTAATTTTCTCTGAGTCAAAATGATGCCTCCAGGCTCGTGTAAAAGTTCCATACCTAGAAAATAACTTGCTTCTCCTAGGTCCTTAATTCGAAATTCAGAATCAAGGAATGATTTTATCTCACTGATTTCTTCTTGATTGTTTCCTGTTAGGAGAATGTCATCAACATATACGGCTAATATAGTCGTTAGAGTCCCAGATGTTTTGAAGAACAAGGAGTGGTCATTGACCGAAGAGGTAAAACCTCTGGATCCTAAACAGAGGATAGTTGAGCATACCATTGGCGCGATGCTTGTTTCAAACCATAGAGGGACTTGCGAAGACGACAGACATGGGAAGAGCTTGGAGGTGCAATTCCTGGTGGAAACTTCATAAACACTTCCTCGTCCAAGTCGCCATGTAAGAAGGCGTTATTAACATCTAACTGGTATAAGTTCCATCCCTTCTTCACTGCAACAGTTAACAAACATCTGATAGTTGTCATTTTCACCACTAGTGAAAAAGTCTCTGTGTAGTCTATTCCCTCTCGTTGTGTATCTCCTCGTACTACTAGCCTTGCTTTGAGGCTTTCCAAACTTCCATCAGATTTGACTTTAACTTTGTACACCCATTTGCAGGGCAATGCTTTCCTTCCAAAAGGGATTTGAACTACTTCCCAAGTGCAATTGGATTCTAATGCCTCACGTTCTTTTGCCATAGCTGCTTGCCAACCGGGATGAATGGCTACTTCTTGGTAAGTATTTGGCTCAGAAATTTGGCATATAGAGTTAACAAACTATTGATTTGGTTGAGAAAGTGCAGAAAATGAGTAAGAGTGAAACGGGGTAAAAGGTGGGTTTGGTGAAATTACTGAATAAGCAGCATTGCATATGTAGTCTGATAAATATTTAGATGCATTATGCTCTCTAGAAGATCTGCGTAGCCCATCTGCTGGAGCAGATTCAACTCTAGATATAGACAGAGTAACAATAGGGCAATCTTTACCTCTAGGACTAGAAGATGATAAAGAAATAACACCTGGTGTAGTTACATTAGGTGAATTAGATTCATGTTGTGAAGAAAAAATATGCATTCCCTCATCAGAGATAGGAAAACTGGTTGGAAACAATTTTGACATAGGAGTAGAATAAGAAAAAGGGAATATAGACTCAAAGAATTTGATATCCCTAGAAACAAATACGTGATTCGATTGAATGTTCAAAATTCTATATCATTTCTTTCCAAAAGAGTAACCTAAGAAGACTCCAGGGATTACTCTAGGTTGTAGTTTATCTCTATTTCTAGAAAGAGTAGAGACATAGCATAAACAATCGAAAGGCTTCAAATGAGAGTAATCTGGCAATTTGCCAAACAAAACTTGATAGGGTAATTTATTATTTAGAACTCTTGAAGGGAATATATTAATCGAGTAAGTTGTTGTTAGCAAACAATCACCCCAATATTTCTTTGGTAAATGAGACTGGAATAATAAAGCTCTACATTTCTCTAATAAGTGTTTGTATTTTTTTTTCAACTACCCCATTTTGTTGTGGGGTTTCAATGCATGATGTGTGATGAACTATCCCTTTCGAAGTAAAGAAATCTGAAAGATTTATTTCTGTCCCTAACTCACATGCATTATCTGATCTTATGATCTTAACCTTGGCTGAAAACTGTCTTTCTATAAGAGTTAAAAAGGATTTAAGGGTAGGAAAATCATTAGACTTTGTAGACAAAATATAGGCCCAAGTTGCCCTTGAAAAATCATCCATAATAGTAAAAAAATATCTTTCTCCCTTGTAAGTGGGAACATTGTAAGGACCCCATGTATCTATGTGTAGTAATTCAAAGCAATGTTTAGAGCTAATAGAGCTTGTTGGAAAAAGCAATTTGGACTGTCTTGCCATTGGGCATATGTCACAAGGAAAAAATCTGTTTATCTGTTGATGAAAGAGATATATTCTTTATATTCTTCATTGCATGATAAGGTAAGTGCCCCAATCTTAAATGCCAAAGTCTGTTGGAATTCATAGAATCAGAAACTGCAGTTTTATTCATTTTTAAACTTTCATTAGATGGAAAAATTCCTCTTACACATGTTTGAATAGACTCTGGGACAGAACTACACGATTGAACAAAAGACTTTGAGTTGGCTGCACTACAAGTCTTCATATGATTTTTAGGGAAAGGAAAGAAAGGATTATTGGACACTCTAGACTTAGTTGAATCAACTTCCAGCACATAGAGACCAGCAAAAGCTTCACCAAGTACCATTTGCCTCTTCGGAGAAGGGGCATGTACAAGATATTTAGATTTAGTAAACAAAACATTAGAATTTAGCTGCTTACACAATTGGTTAACAGACAAAAGATTATGGTTGAAAGAAGGAATATAAAGAATATTATATAACTCAAGTTCAGGTGAAATTAATACACTTTCTAAACTGTAGACTTTGACTTTATAAGAATTTGGTAGTGTAACTTGAATAGGGAAAGGGAGTTATTTGAAATTGTTTAGAAGTGTTTTATCATGAGTCATATGTTGTGAGGCTCTTGAATCAATTATCCGAAATTTGGATGTGATAGTTGTAAAACAGGAAATAAAGGTGTGAAAAGCAGTACATTTACCCACAAAGTTGGCACTTGCATTAGCATCAGAACCTAAAGTACTTATGTTTCCAGCCTGCACAGATTGTATCATCTGAATCAGCTACTCACACTGTTCTTTTGTGAACCCCTATGGATTCATTAGGCTAGGTGCAACATCTCGAGTGATAACTGCTCCTCCTCCTGATGTTTCACTTTCCTCAATCACTGCTGCATTAGCCTGAACATTTCCAAAGTTTCTCTTTAGCTTAATGAACTTGAAAGACAGTGGGTACTCAACCAGTTTATAACATTTCTCTTTCTGGTGTCCCTGCTTCTTACAGTAAGAGCAGAAGTTGTTTATCCTTGCTTCAGTGTTACTATTATAATTTTCACCCCTATACTCGCTATTAGTTTTTTGTGCATTAACATTGAAAGCACTGGGCTCAACCGACACATGGTGACCAGAATGTACCTCCCTTTGAGACTCTTCATGTAAAATGATTAAATGAGCTTGTGTTGTGGAAGGAAGGAGCTTCATCATGAGGATGTTTTCCCTTACTCCAGAATATTCCTCATTGAGCCCCATCAAGAACTAGATTAGCTTTTGATCTTCATTCATTTTGTGATTGTGAATTTTTGCTCCACAGTTGCACTCATACCCACAAGCCATGAAGGTATTAAGAACTTTTATTTGATCCCAAATTCTTTTGAGCTTGGTAAAGTATGCCGCAACATCATTTGTTTCTTGCAAAATGTTGTTAAGTTCTTTTTGCAGCTGAAATAACTTTGTACCATTAGCTTGGCCATATCTTTGTTCTAGCTCAGTCCAAAGTTCTTCAGCTGTTTGAGAGTAAATGACACTTTCTGCTATATCCTTGCTTAAGGAGTTTAACAGCCAAGCAATGACCATGTCATTGTATCTCCTCCATTGTGCAAAAAGAGGTGAGTTCTCAACTGGTTTTTGACATGAACCATTGATGAATCCTAGTTTATTTTTAGCAGAAAGAGAGATTAATACCCCCTTCTCCAATTTCCATAACTGGTTCCATCGAAACTGACATTAATAAGGTTTATTCCAGGAGAATCAGAAGAGTTGAGAAAATATGGATGTGTTCCATCCATCAAATTTGAAGCTACTACTGTGGTATTTTCAACAACAGCATCAAGGATAGTCCCGGGTGTGACTTCTCCAGATGAAATACCAAATTCTGAAGCAACAACCATAACAAGGAAATGATAGAATAGAAAGATGAAGGAGAAAAAAACAACAAAGGATAGAGAAATAAGATCTCTAAATTAGAGCACCTGCTCTTGATACCATGAAAGCAAAAGGAATCTTTTCACCTTCCTCTCTCAACGTATCTTTCTACATGGTATATGTACTTCTATTTATACAAACAAAGAGGAAAGACAAAGAGACAAAGACCCATAAGCCCATAACCAATTCTGTACAAAAATAAGAAAAAAATGATAAAGACCCATAACCAACTATATTTTATACAACTAGACAACTATATGTACTATGTCTTGATATTGCTTCTGTTTGCTCAATATTTGAGGCATCTTTTGTGAGAGATCTGTTAACATTTTCAATGCTCTGATTGCTCATGTTTATGAATTTGCAATTTAACCATAAGAGAAAAGTCGAGCCATTTTGGTAATCGCAGGAATAGAAACGAGATACTTTTTTTCAACGAAGGATAAAATTGCTTTGTTTCACATAGTCAAAGGGCATTTTTGACCCTTTACCCAAAAGAATACGAAAGTAGACCTCCGGGGAAGTGTACAGTTAGCCACTTATTAGAGATGCCTTTATTCTTTAGCCACTGTTTAAAATATATTTATTCTTTAGCCAGTGCTTAATAAAGTTTTACTCGCCTGGACGAAAATACCTCTGTGCTAGACATGGGTGCTGTGTAAATATTAAGGATATGGTGTCCGTAACTTCATGAATGTTGTGTAAATATTAAGGACAAAGTGTCATGTATTTGCACCTTCTGTTTTTAAACTTTAGGATATCATGTCCTTAACTTCATATGTGCAGTATAAATGTTAAGGACATGGTATCCTTAACTTCATGTGTCCGGGGTAAATGAAAAGGACATAATGTCCTTAACTTGTATTTGCACCTTCTGTTGTTAAACTTTAGGATCTCATGTCCTTAACTTCATATGTGCAGTATAAATGTTAAGGACATGGTATCCTTAACTTCATGTGTCCGGGGTAAATGAAAAGGACATAATGTCCTTAACTTGTATTTGCACCTTCTGTTGTTAAACTTTAGGATCTCATGTCCTTAACTTCATATGTGCAGTGTAAATGTTAAGGACATGATGTCCTTAACTTCATGTGTGTAGTGTAAATGTTAAGGACATAGTGTCCTTAACTTTATAAGTGTTGTGTAAATATTAAGGATATGGTGTTCTTAACTTCATGAATATTGTGTAAATATTAAGGACAAAATATCATGTATTTGCACATTCTGTTGTTTAAACTTTAGGACATCATGTCCTTAACTTTATATGTGCAGTGTAAATATTAACGACATGGCGTCCTTAACTTCATGTGTGCAGGGTAAATGTTAAGGACATAATGTCCTTAACTTGTATTTGCACCTTCTATTGTTAAACTTTAGGACCTCGTGTTCTTAACTTCATATGTGCAGTGTAAATGTTAAGGATAAGGTGTCCTTAACTTTATGTGTGCAGTATAAATGTTAAGGACATAGTGTCCTTAACTTTATGAGTGTTGTGTAAATATTAAGGACATAGTGTCCTTAACTTCATAAATGTTGTGTAAATATTAAGGACAAAGTGTCATGTATTTGCACCTTCCGTTGTTAAATTTTAGGATATCATGTCCTTAACTTCATATGTGCAGTGTAAATGTTAAGGACATGACGTCCTTAACTTCATGTATGCAGTGTAAATGTTAAGGACACTATGTCCTTTATATTTATACATCATTCATGAAAAAAGGGTAAAAGCGTCTTTTCATATTAATTTAATAGAGTAGTGGCTATTTTTGCTCATTATTAAAAATACTGGATAAAAACTAAATATCATGTTAAAAAGTGGCTATCCCACGCCATTTACACTAGACCTCCTATGTTCAAATCATTCCTTTCTCTTTTTGACCTCTTAATTCATCAAAATTAACGTTTTTAATGATTTTCTTGGATATCTCAGGTATAGTTTGAAGTGATTGATAGCCTGTTTGGTCAAACATTTGAAATCGATTTATTTTGAGAAGCATTTTTTTTCAAAAGTATTTTTTTTTTCAAAAGTGCTTTTTCTAGAAGTATTTTTGGTGAGAAGTAGTTGGTGTTTAGTTAATTAATTTTTTTTAAAAAAAGTATTTTTTAAATTTAAAAAAAAGTGCTTTTGGGTTTAAAGAAACTTTGCCAAACAAGCTATGAATTTGATAATACTATGTCTGGTCCATTTTAAACAATTGAAGATTTTTGCACATCCATTGAAAAATCACTTAATAGTATTAATAAAAAGGTTTGTTTGACTAAATCACCATTTATTCTTCTCAAAATGAATAATAGCTGTTGAAAAACTTCTAAAAATTTGTATATATCACATATTTGAAACGAAAATTTAACGCTTTCTTAATTATCTAAAGTGGCACTTATCTTTGACTAAATTTGTTTGTTTAATCAACATTTAAAATTATAGCGGAGGTAGTATTAAACAATCCTTTGGAAAATTTTGTTTTAATCCAATGATCAAACAAAACTGGAACAGTGATCATAGAGTCTTGAAAATGTTGGTATACCAGTCCTTGGAAAATCTTAGCTAGGTCTTGAGGCTTACATAGTACTTCAACACAATAACAGCAGAGTTTAGCAGTCAAAAGTACAATTATCATGCTCTCTTAGCTTGATATGTAGTAGTAACTAAGTACAGACTAAGAGTTACTAACAACATTCTCCATTTGCTGCATACTGCATAAAATAAAGTAGAAACATAGAGAACACTACCATGGGGCATTAACTTCTCCTTGGAACATAAGCTCATAGCTCTCAGCTTTTGATTTCAGAGCCTCAACATCAGCACCATATGTTTCAGAAGCTTTTTTCAGTTCCACAAGTTTTGTTTCAAGATTCCTCATCTCATCTTCAGCTCGAGACCACTCGTTTTTAGCTTCCCAGTACCTCTTGGTGTCTGAAGCACCTTCTGAATCAAATGCAAGACTCACCAACCAGCGCAGACGAGTCCTCAGAAACCCAACATTCATGCCCAGAAGTTCAAAAGATTTCAATGACTTCTCCCATATATCAAATTCCGTTCGCTGGGTGGTGAGCTTGCAAGCTCTTATCGCATCGGCAATGTTGACGACTTCAAAAATCACACCAGCAACCAACTTACAATGAAGGCCTTGTAGAAGACGATCATGAAGAAAAGCGCTTTTATTGCAGCATAACTCGTAGTACTTTCTTCTTATATCTTCAGGAAGTTCAGAGTCTATGCATACTCCATTCACCAAAATGTGGAACTCCTCAAGGCTCTTAATGTCTCTAAAATTAACAGCAAGTCCAGAGGACCTTGAGCCCTCTAAAATTTCTGAAGCAACCTCATCGCTATCATTTCCCGACTGTGCCTCCAGTGCCAGAAGTTGTTTACTCAGATCCGCCTTTCGTCTCCTCCTATGCACAACAGTTATGGGAAGAGACTTCTTTTGACGCTTCTTTAAGTTATGAGCAGAAGCTCCCTCTGACATGTCACAAGTTGGAAACAAGTTGCTTAGAAGGACCAGAAAAGACCGCAAAATATACTATGTTTCACAGTATGACCGGTATAAAATTTACTTACTGACCTGCATCACTTTGCTTGGGTGGTGCATCCAAATTTAGAAGGCTAAGAGCGCCATCCACCTCCTTTAGATCATTCGCTCTTATGACGTATACCTATGAATTCAGAAACAAAGTTCAGATTAAGATTGCTGCTAAAGATCTGTGAATTTGAAGTTAGAAAAACCTATTCTTCAATTTCCACATTTCTGCTTCACTTCATGGTGACAATTCATACTGAGATGTCGTATAATATCTGATAGTAGACCTATGATGAAAACCATCATCACTTGCAATGGATTTTATCATGCTGTTAGCTGGATAAGAATTCATATAAATTCATAGAGCAGTTTTTTAATAGCCCTAATTCAATCAGAAGTTGACTCTCAAGCCTGTAAAATTGGTAAACATCAAGTGCTGCTATGGAAATAACGTATTTGTGATTCTCTATGCCCCTAATAAACAGCCGTTGCACAAACTCAATAATCATCCCCACCTTCAATTGTTTAGACTGTGTCACTGTGGCATACAAATGATGTTGTCTGCCATAATTATGTTTATCCACTACGACATACATTTTCCACCTTCTCCATTCTTTGCAGTAAAAGGAATTGCGACATACATTTTCCATCTTCTCCATTCTTTGCAGTAAAAGCATGCACTCAATGACAAGACTAATTGGTATCCTCTTATTTTTGGTACCTTAAAAAGAATCCACAATATTTCGTGGAATGTTTCCTCGAGTAAGACTAGCAAGTGCATACCTGCACTCAATTTTAGGTACCATGTGACCCAATAGTTAAGTTGAAAACATGTAAATTCATACAAATAGTATCGCTCATATATTTATTCCTACCAAAAGATACCTTGATAGATGCTTGGCCTGTAAACAGAAGCTCCTTTAAGGATTAAGTTTGCTTGCTCCAATGTTTTTCCATAGAATCTAATGTTGATCAATTTTTAAAAGAGTTAAACACACATGTTGACATATAACTACACAAGCTAAGTTAAGGTCACAACAATCTCCTGAATGGTGTGAAATATAATATACAGCTAAAATTCCATCTCTATCCACAGTTGAGTCAATTATTTTATGAAAAAAACTCTTCCTACATGAGGAATCAAGTAATGACTGCTTATCTCGTCATTAGATGCATCTTATGCTAGCGTAAAACAAGTTAGATTACTTAACCTTACTTGGTTGACATCAATGGTGATGCCGTGCCAGTTTGAAGGCTGTTAATTTCAGTTCTAGGACTTAGCCGACTGTTATAAATCCAGTTGTTCAACTGCTAAAGCGAAGGCATATGGGGCTTAACGTAATGCTGATAAGACAGTGTCCAGAGACTATTTATGAGACCTTAGCAGAACAACACTGGGAACCAAGCAAGAAGTGTACCACGGCAAATAGTATACTCTATCTGGATCCACGATAGACTAAAGAAAAATGAATCCTTTACCGGGGACAAGCTCTTCACAGAATACAGATACCTACAAACCTTACAACGATGATAGTTCTCTTTACAAACCTATAACAGATTAACATGCCTGCTCTCCATGATTGACTTGAATAGTTCAGCACCGGCTGAAATTGTTTTTACTGCAATTCACACTCCTGTTGCAGAATTCTGATAGACGTGTCACATGTGGATAAGTTGGTTTTACATGGTGACGTCATTCTTATATGCCAGGAAATGGGAAAAAGAAAATCAATCCCACTTATCAGTAACCGCAGTTATCTGCTGCACTTTGTACAGGTAGATGGACTAGTAGGCTATGGCATATAACCGATGCATAAAGCTTAGTTCAAACATGCAAAAAGATGTTTAAAAAAAGAAACTTGGAGTGTCACCTTGAATCTAGTAGGCGCAACTAGTTGGAAAACTAAAACATCTCCCTCAACCAACTTGTGAGCAGTGCAATACTTTCTCCATCCTGCACTAAGTCCGGTCTTTTCAGCAATATATTTTATCTCAAATTCTTCGCCGGTCTCGCTTTCAAGAATAACTGGGGTGTCCTTTCTTGGTAGATGGTTCTTGCAAAATGGCACCGGAAGTCCCTATTGTATGGATGGTAGTAAACAAAGTTACAGGGTTAAGTAAATATTTCCTTAACTAAATCCAAAGCTAAGTTGTTTAGACAAAACTCACCATCCAAAAACAACTACCAACATGTGATCTAACTAATAATTTCATGAAGCTGGGATATTCATTCCCTATACTTGACAGGAACTCCTCTGCTCGAATGATGATTGGTGATTTCATTTGGGTAGCACTACCAGACCCATCAGCTGTAGCCCTCTCTTGTTTGGTGCTTAATGAAAATACAAAAAAACTGTCACTCTCAAGTATCAAAGGTTACAATTGTGTAAGAATATTCAAAGAATATGTTATACAAAAACACTCACATAATTGACTTGCCCCCAGCATCAGCTACTGCCTGCTCAAGAATAAGCGGAACAGCAATAGAGCTGTTAATATCATTTATTGGTACATATAAACAGTCATGGAACGCGACTAAAACTAGATAATGTAGGAAATTTTGTAAGATCACAACTATTTTCTGAATCTAAAATTGGCATAACAACAGAGATCTCCTGAAATACTATCTTAATATCGAATGCAACAGTTAGGAAAATGATACCCAGTAAAAGGGATTACTACCAAGTGAGCTACGTATTTGGCATCACGGAGTGGGAATGAGAATGCAGTTTGCACTTTATAAATCTCAAATTTTGTAACTTATTTTGTTATTCAAAATAATAACAGAAAAACTGAAAGCTCATTTCCTCCCATTATAGTATTAACCAATGGGAGTAATCTGAAGCCACTCCAGATAGTCCTAGACCAAACTTAGACTTCTAGTTAGCAAATACAAATTTTTTATGAGTTTGAATCAACTTTAAGTCAACCCCAATTAAGCTCCATTCATGATGTGCTCAGCTGTCACAACTAGTTTCATCTCCTGTAGTGATCACTCCTACTTTAGAAACTCTACGTCATATTACATTGCCACCCTATTTAAACTGATCAAATCCCTAATAAGAACCAGTTCACATTTAGATTTAAGCGTACAAAAAACCTGAAAGGACTAATTAACGAAACCTATAACAGAAATAGGTCTTTTCAACAGGGAAATGTTGTGGTTGCTTAAGTAACTTGATAGCCGGCTTAGGCTAGACACAATGCGGGTTTCATTTTACATCAGCCTGTTTGCTAAAATTTTCCCGTCCCAGGTCCATGCAAGTTGCAATTGAAGAGATCCTAATTGTCAACGAGGGTCGAGCAGTTAGAGAGACTTGGTGTTGCAAATTACTGTAGCAGTTAGTTGAATCTTTATCAGCAAACAAGAGGGAATAAATGTAAGGTTATAATCAGGCTAGAGTATAACAACAAATTTGACCAAATATCAAGTGATCCATAGTTGATTTAAGAGAAGGGTATCTCACATTG